AACTCATGGAAGAGCTTGGATTCATCATCTTCATCATCAATTCATCTTCTTCTTCTTCAATAAGGTGAGTCCCATAGCTAGATTTAGCTTTTGCAGGGAAGAAAATATGGGATTTGGGAATTAGGTTTTGCTTGAAGATTGAATCAAATGTTGTTTCATGTTGATATTTGATGAATTGCATGTTTAATAATGATATACCATGATAATTGGGCGTTTGGATGTGTTTTTAATGGTTGGGTGTTGAGGGAATTAGTTTTTGGCCATGGAAGACTACATTTCTATGTTTATGAGATAATGAATATCGCATGGGTCGCATAGCAAATTCGTAGCGAGTGTGACAGTCTCCTAAGCTCACACAGCGAGCCTTCAGCAAGATGAAGGCAATACCTTGCCTAGAGGTCACACAGCGGTCACTGAGGCTTTTTGCTAATGCCTCCAAAATAATCTGTCTCACCCAAGCTCGCACAACAAACTCAAAGCAAGACAACCTCACCCAGAGCTTGCACAGCGAGCCTGACAGTTTTATTCTCTTTTGTTTGTTTACTTGTTTGGTTGCTTTTTGTGCATGACTTATGATGTTATGGGTTGTTTCACATGATTATTGAGGATTATTATGCATGTTTACCATGAATAATTGGTTGATATATATGATGATAAAATATGTGAAAAGTGAAGAATAACACTTAGTGTTGTGGTGACCACCATGTGAACGGTTTGATATTTGGTGAGGGACCTTTGTTCCGAAAGTCCTATTTGGTGAGGGGCTTGGCTCATAAAGACTTATCTATGTTGATTCTATGTCTTATGTTCATTAATTATGCTTGATTAAATTGTGTTATTATATGTACCTTATATGTAATGTATGATGTATACATGGGTATTTTGATTGTGTGATGACATACTTAAAAGACTATAAGAATGGTGAGAAAAACCTTTGGTATTAATTAATGGAATAAACTAGTAAAGTGATTAGGACATGATGAATAACATAGATAACAATGCTTGTATAATGATGCCTAGTTGTGTATCATTGGCAAGTAGTTGCCTAGTTGTGAGGAGAGCTTTGTATGGAACATGTATGGTTTGTGTTGTTTATGGTTAAGGTGAATGTGATGTCTTGTGATTGTCGAATACAATCACGCTATCCTTAGTGATTACATTGGAGTTGGGTTCTAAATTTTTAAGGTAACTTTTGCATAGAGGAGTTTGTTTCTCATTATGATAATAAAATTTTGATTTGTAGATTGTTATATTTGAGTTCTCATTTCATTTATTTTTGGCACTAAAATGCTCAACTAAGTGCTTATTATTTGTCTTGATATTTATTAAATAATGAAGCTTTGATCTTACTTGAATTATTTTATTTTTGATAATTATTAAACAGTGGGTGAGGATGAGGAGACAGATGGTGGAAGGTTCCATCTAATGGCTACGATATTAATCGAAGCTTCATATGTTCACGGCATAGATGATGATTGATGACGTGTTTGCCATGGAGCCTTTAAGATTGGCTTTTTGTTGTTGATTCTTGGTTGTCTTTGTTTTGCTTGTGATAGTTTATTTAGTTAGTTTGTGTCTCTAGATGTCCTTAACTAGGTTGTGCATGTTGATGTTTTGACCCAAATCAATTATTTTGGGGTTTTAGTGTGTTTCTTTTAAGTTTTTAGTATTATAGTTACGTTGTTTTGTTTATGTTGAAGAATGTGATATTTACATCAAGACTTGTTAAAGTTTTATTATGCGATATTAAAATTTTTCGGCCTCTTTGGTAATGATTAATAATTTTGTAAATTATGTAGTAAATTAAATTATAAAAAAAATAGCAGGTCGACCCGCCAACTCGTTAGTAAACGGGGTGGACATGACTTTTGAGCTCGGACACCAAAGTTTACCTACCCCACTCTGCCCCGCTTTTGGATGGATTTAAACAGGATGGGTCACCCGCTTTGCCACCCGTATATATACATTATCATTGTATATTATGTCTCGATTAGGGGTGGCAAAACGGGTCGCCCGCTCGCCACGCCCTGCCCCGACTAAACTTAAGCCCGCCAAAAAATTGAGCGGGGCGGCTAAGCCTGCCAAGTGAATTTTGACTTAAAATCTAGCTCGCTCTGCTAAGGGGCGAGTTGGTGAGCGGCGGGCTTGCCCACCTATTTTCTTTTCATTTTTTTAATAGATTAATAGGCTTATTTTTAATTTAAATTATGTTTTTCACTTATTTTTTAGAACATTTTTTTATAAAGCATCTTTTTAACAAATTTTACTTTAAAAAATATTGCATATATTCACAAATAAATGTATAAAATAGAATCATCAACAATTATTTTAAAACTATAGTTCATAGTTCAAGTATTAACCTTCAACCAACCAAATAAAATATTTTGAGTGCTTGATAACTAGTTTAGTGGATTGACGGGTTAATTCACCCTTTTTTTGGCGAGTTTAAGACAAGGCGGACATAAAATCTCAACGTAACCTGCTATTTTTTAGCATGTGCGCAGATCGGCCCATCAGACCACGACCCATTTTTTCACCCCTACTCTAGATTATGTATTCATATAACATAGTTCTAAATATGTAATCAATACCATTTATAAGTGTTTTAAAAACCAATTTGAGTTCGCGGATAAGAGGTAATTGATCCGAATTGGTTATTGATTTGATCATCTAATCAAATAAGTGCGAATCAATCTAAATTAAAATGAAATTGGTAAATCAAATGTTTGTGATTCTAATCCACTCCTAATCACAGTTGTGAGGGATAGTTTTTACCAAGTCCAACAACAATTATCACTAAACTAACAATTGATATATTAATAAGTTTATTTTAAAACACAATAGGGTATTAATTTGTGGACAAAACTAACCATGGTTTCTTTTCTCTTTTGATCAAGTATCATGGTTTCTTTTAGAAATGAGGTAGTAGTAGTAGTAGATATGAAACACAATGGCCACCCTATGACATCATCTTATATGTAAGCTTCCTTTGTTGTTAGGGGGTACCCACCCATATAATGTTATCGTGCAATCTCTTCTTTACCTATGATGACCAATTCAACATTTATTTACTTTTCCAAAAATTAAATCTTTCAAGACCAACATACTTCTAACATGTCCCATTCTCCAAAAACCCACGAGCACTCGTTTCAACCAAAATTTAATAACATGTTACATAACCCAATGCATAATTTAGATTTCTTCATAGTAATGGTCCCCCAATCAATATATTTTTTTAATTAAATAATTTATCCACATAAATAGTAATTCGAGCGTATATATGAAAAAAGTAGAAAAAAAAGAATCGCATAAAATGCAATATATACTTTTGTTAATAAAATAAAAGAAAAGAAACACTTTGTGCACTTCTTTTCAATTAGTGACTCAATAGTAAACTCAATCAATTCAACTAAAACTCAATACACATATTTTGGGACCCAGTTGCAATACTGGACAATCATGAAGCTATGTAGCTAAACAAATTGTTTATGTTATAGATTTTAATTTTCTCTTATTAGTCAAATGGTCTAATGATTGAAATTCAGTTCTTAAAGGCAAATAAATGAGAAGTCGTTGATTCGAACTCACGCTTCTAAATATAATATTTCTACAGAGTTATCAACTGAGTTGATTTGACGGGACAAAAGATATCAAATTTAAAAAAATGAAATGAATATTTAATTTTGTTAATGGCTTAGATAATCACCAATATGCAATTTTAATGATACTTTGGATTTGGATTATACTAGTTAGAAGTTAGTGTTTGGAATTAAATAATATGCAAAACAATGGGAATAAAGAGTGGTAAAGGGATATGTGGAAGCATCATATTTTTTTCAGTTCTTGGTCCCAAAACAAAGTTGATGATACTTATTAATAAAAGTGGTAAAAAGAGCATATATGGCCTCAAAAGACTGATTTATGTATTGGAGAAGATTATGAAAACACATAAGAACAAGTAGCATCATCATTCCATTTTCTCCTTTTTGAAAAATAATATAATATCAATTAAATTGGACAATATATATCTAGGAATAACAAAAATTCAAATTTCAATATAATAGAGTTTGAAGATTTGATAGCAAATTTCAGGAGCTCGAGGAAGAAATTGAGGGGAAAAAAAGCCAAAGAACACTCAAAACAACTCAGTCAAACTTTGTACCTAGGAAAATCTTAACCTTATAAGTACTTAATAATTTTCCAATTTATAAATGCCATGTATATTAATAAAAATAATAAAATCTCACTAACTTGCGCCATCTTCTTCGGTTTCTTTTCCTTAGTATATTACTAATATATAGTATACAAATAATACAAATATATGGAATGTGTTTGGAGAAATCATTGTTTGTTGAAGGTTGACACACCAAAAGAATAATAGGAAAACCTAAAGAAAATTAGTATATATATATTTTTAAAATGATTATGTCTCATTGACATGTCCATTGTTTTTTCATGGTAAAAGATGAAGAAGGTTAACAAAATTTTTTTTAGAATATTGGTGAATCCTACCATTTTATTGATGGTAACAAATCATCGTTCTTATTTTTCTAATATTTTCGATAGAGAAATTTTAAATCGAATCGAAATTATAAAGAATAAACGGAAAGTTCAACCATCTATAATAGTAAGTAAATTATCGATTTTTTTCATTTGTACTATTGTTTTTTCTTAATATTATTATTTAAACCACTTTTAATTTATTTTTTTTACCTATGATGTTTGTGTCCATTAAACAATGAAAATGGCATATTACCAATCATCCTTTCCCCTCTATAGGAAACACCCATCATTGCCCCCAACAATCCTTTTCAACCTTAGAAACCTGAGCTTCTAAGATATTCCATTCTTCCAATTCCTTTCACTTTTCTCCTTTTCTTTTTCCTCTCAAAATTCTCCTTTTTCCCCTTATGCCTCTTCCACTCTCTCTCAATTTAAATATCCTCTCCCTCTTCACACCCATCACTCCTTCAACTTTTTCTATAATCACTTTTTTCTAAATGGATCCTTCTTCCACAAACTCAGTGAATGGTTTCTACTCTTTTCTAACAAGAGGAATTGACGATCTAGAAAGAGTTTTCTTAACCAACAATTTCATGTCCATTCAATTCCTTCAAAGAACTCTTTCTTTACTTCGATCTTTACATACCCAATTGACCCTTTTGGTTCAAAAACTTCATCTTCCTGTTGGTGATAAATGGCTTGATGAATACATGGATGAAAGTTCTAAGCTTTGGGAAGCTTGTCATGTTCTTAAGTCTGGCATTTCAGGAATCGAAAATTATTACTCTGCTTCTTCTAACATCACTTCATCTCTTGATTCTCATATTCACATCACCCCACAAATCTCTCGCCAGGTTTCATTCATACCCAAATGAAAATATTCAATCTTTGCATGTTAACATGAACAAAATTTTAAAAAAGAATGATTTTTTATTTTTGTTCTGTTTTGTGATTTCATGTTTTTTCGGTTTTGATGATGCAGATTGTGAGAGCAATATCGGTTTGTAGAAGAGAAGCTGTTGGGCTGGAAGAAGAGAATCGTGCTTTGATGGAGACAAGGATTCAACCACTTTCATTGCGTTTTGACGAACGAGTTTCAATTGAATCGAAACTTAACGGTTTCAACGGTTTCAGAGGAGTGTTATACGCAATGAGAAACGTGAGTTCGTTGTTGTTAATGATTCTGTTATACGGTTTAGTTTACTGTTGGCCGGAATCATCGGATTTGGTTTTCGGAGGGTACGAGGAATATGAGTACGAAGGTTGTCTTTTCCTCGGATCGGCTTTTATGATCTCAACGGCGAGGCTGCAGCAGAGAGTGGCGGCGGAGATGGGGAGAATGAATGGTGGGCCAGGGATGTTGTTGCATGAGTTTAGAAGATCGAAGGTTGTTATGGAGGATCTTAGGGGGGAGTTAGAGAGAAGAGGTTTGCAAGGTGGTGGTGTTATGGAGTGGGAGAATGAAGATGGTGTTAGAGAGAGAGTTGAGAATTTGAGAGGCTCGTTTGGTGTTCTTAGATCTGGTGCTGATAATCTTGTTGCTCAACTTGATGATTTCTTTGATGAGATTGTTGAAGGAAGGAAGAAGCTTTTGGATTTTTGCAGTCATAGATGAATGAATGAAGAAAAAGGAAAAAGTTAGTAATGGTGGAATTGAACTATTGAAGAAGAAGAAGAAAAAAAAGAGTAGAGATTAGAGAGTATTGATGGGGTTGTTGTACCTTTTTTTTAATCTTTTTCTTTAACTATTGTGATCTTTTGTTTTGTTTTTCACACTTACCCTAGTTGAAAAACACTAAAAAATTATGCTTTTTTTTAAGTGATAGATTAATTTAGTTTTATCTTCTATTCTTCTTGCACTAAATTCTTTAGGAAACTTCGATTCTTTTCCTTCTTCCAACTAATTACAGCTGGTGAAGAAAAGGACAAAAGTAAAAAAAAGTATAGTAACTAAAAAAGTGGAAGGAAAAAAAGAAAGTTAAAAAAGCCACATGATTTTAGACATAAGAAGGCAAACACAAACACTGATGGCAGAACAGTGTCATATGGGTGAAATTTAAAATTCTTTCTTTTTTCTATGGCACTGATTGATTGTTTTTTCTCTCTCTCTCTTTTGTTGTTTAACATTGGATTTGAAACATGAAAGAGGTCGATGGTTTTTGCCAAAGAAAATGACTAATCATTCATTCTAGTTTTAGTTCAGAAAGAATAATGGAAAGGGATGCTTTGAACTGTTGCATCTGAGATTCCTGAACTGCTTTAACTCCAAAGGCAGTTTTTCTTTTGCTCTTGGCAAAGCTTTTGTCTGATATGGTTCGATTTGAAAGCAATAGGAAACCATGATGATCATTGATCATCAAAACTTCCTCTCACCACATTCTCCCTTTGCCTGACAAGTCTCTCTCTTTCTGTCTATCACTCAAATTTGTTCTGTTTCAAAATTCTTCAACTTCCACTTTTTGGGGCGTTTTAAATATATATATCACAAAAATTTCAGAGGTCACTTTCTTAATTCTAACCGTATCTCATGCTTTTTGTCCCTTGCCGCAAATTCATGCCTTGCCTCCTTATGAGGGTTCAGTATAAGTAAAGGCTTTAAAATCAAACAATAAAATAATACAGAAAGTGCAAACATACAGACAAAAAAGAAAGAGTAATATAATGCATCATGCCGTAGGTAAGAAATGTCTGCTGCTTCTGTTGCTGCTTGTTCAACAGCTGTTACCAACAATTAAAGCACTGTAAAATGTAGTACAAACTAAGACTGCTTCTTAACACAAGAAAGTGTACTAAAAAGTATAAAGTTTGGTTATATATGGTATGATGCTGGTGGCAATAACCTCAAGTATTAGGCTCCATAAACAGGAATAAGCATATAAACAGAGTCAGTGATGACTATAAAATAATCTCATGTTCACTTCAAATTACACATCAATGTGAGCACTCAATAGTAACACTTATTAAATTACGTTGATGTCTCTTCATAAACAAAAGGGTAGTAATGAAAACTACATAGAACTTGAATAATTTGTACTGTCGCTAAATAATAACCGGAAAATAGCAGAGTTTGGTGTATGGTCTGCAAATTTAGTTTGCAGGAGCTAACTTAATAAATATAAGAGTAATGCGAAAATCATATCTAGTGAGCTACCATGGAAAAGTAATTCAAAACATGGTAAGCAAAGAAGTATATCATAGTAATAAACTAATAATATCAGGGACGCATGAATGGATGGTGCCTGCTTTACAATATTGAAATCAAATGTTGAATCCTGGCATTTCAAACTGGGAACCAAATGTCTCAACCCGATTTCTGAGGTCAAAAATATCTTTATTATTCTGAAGACCCTTCAGAAAACCCTTGCATGATTTACCATGTTCCCTCTGTATAATGCTGGTAATCTGAGCTGCCCTCAGAAGAAAATCGGCTATGGTGTCAAAATCCTCCTCTAAACAGCCTCGTGATGTCATTGCAGGAGTGCCTGAATAACAAGAAAAATAAATGTTTAGTAAAATAAAAAACACTAGGGCATTCAAAAGACCCAATAGTAATTTGTTAACACTAAAATTGTTTGAATTCCAAGAGTAAATGAGACTGTTGGAATATAAACTTGATTAGCTCTATTGGACTAATCAAGTGTTAGATCCATTTTGTGCTAATGTGTTATGGTCTTAAAACAAATCTAGAGGGGAACAGATAGTGTCAGAAGATGGCAGGTTTAGCATTGAGTAAGGAGTTGAGAGATGTGTCATCAGATGAGTGTTTAGAACTCTTGGAGCCTATGAAAGGGGAGTCTCTCTCATTTGCAAATCAAGCCCAAAAAGCATAGATTTGTCTCATTTAGAAATAGTAGCTTTCTCATGTATCTTTCCCTCTTCACTTCCTCAGAAGTTTGCTAAAACTCATTTTCCTTCTAACAAACTGGCATTAGAGCTTATGTTTTCATAGGAAATCCTAATTGAAAAATACATGGATCTTCTATGTCTCGAGCACTGGCCACGAGCATCATACAGATTTCCATTCTTTACTAAGAGATTAGCATTTGCTAAATATGAGAGTGCTGGATCTTAAATGGAATCGATAGACTTTGGATCAGACACTTGCTAGTATGAAACAGTCCCAAGCTAAACATGGACAAGTAAATGCTAAACTAAACAGCATAGTAAATACAGATATTTACGGCACATGCAAACATAATTAACAAAAAATTAAAGTACATCAATTCCGAGATAATAAGAGATTAGCATTTGCTAAATATGAGTGCTGGATCTTAAATGGAATCGATAGACTTTGGATCAGACACTTGTTAGTATGAAACAGTCCCAAGCTAAACATGGACAAGTAAATGCTAAACTAAACAGCATAGTAAATACAGATATTTACGGCACATGCAAACATAATTAACAAAAAATTAAAGTACATTGGAACTATTAGACTTCAGATGAAGTATATGAGAGGTACTCACCAATTCTCACTCCTCCAGAAGAAATAGAGCCATAAATAGCACACTTATTGAGAGTGATGTGACACGCCTCACAGACCTTCTCATAGTTTCTGTCTGTATAAACAAAATAACATGATATATAGAGCATGCTCAAGTCAGCTTTAAGTACAAATTTATGAGGGAAGGAATATATGAAATCATTAGTAACAGACACAAACAAACACACCATGCAAACTTGAATTTAAAATTTTAACAAAAATATATATTAACATCTTTACTATTCAAACTTAAAACAACAGAGGCCGGAACACAATCTATTTCTTCTTTTCTTGCATCATGCCACACACTTATCTCTTGTATGGATAACTCCAATCTTGTAAACCATACTTCTATAGAAAAAAAATGGAGACAGATGTGCAAAAAAAACTTTGAATTTGTAATACGAAACTTCTCAAAACTATTTTAGGCTAGAACTCATGCAACATTGGCAAAATTTAACCATGATTTATCTAGTACTCTCAACTATAAGTTTATATAGTTATTTGGGATCCATGACACAACCTAGAGTTACTAGCAGCCCAGCCCAGATCAAGTTAGGGCTTTTGGCCTCAAAATTTTGGGCCAAAAACAGGCCTCAAAAGATTCAATTTAGTCATAGATATTGAAAATAACATGAAAATTACATAAATAAGCTGGTAAATGAGAGGCCTCATATCTTGGATTTTGGTTCAACTCTTGATAACCATAAAAATATATATTTTTTAATATATTTTCAAGGCCACGCTCTAAAAGTGGCTTTAGGCCTCTAAACAGATTGGGCTGGCCCTGGTTACAAGGAAGCCCATATAGAGACTCCTGCTTATAGAGTTTATCATTCATCAAAAATATAAGGGGGTGACCTGAACAAATAAGTACCTGAGCTCGCAAAATCATAAATCCCTTTAAGTAATTTAAAATTATCAAAAACTTACACAGCCATTTTATTTAAAATTTGAGAGTCTTTGGCTGGCATAATGATGTGCAAACATTTGTTAAAAAAACTATGAAGTTAAAACTCGTGTTTTGGAACATAATCCTTAAGGAGAAAAGAGTGATAAGTTTCAAGCTGCAAGGTAGCAAAATGAAACAAAGCCAATTTAGAGAAAGCTAACTTCTTAATTATTTTCCCCTATCTTTAATTATTCGAGCCAGCCAATTGAGATAAAGATCAAGTGTTGTCGTTGTATACTAATTTGAAATTAATAACTTATATTGAAAATGCATAACAAGTTCAAGTTCAATGAGCATATACTTCTAATATATTTGGGGAAAAACACAGCCCTTTTGTAATGGCATCATCCCACACCACAGTTCACCAAATAATAACTCATTACTATTGACTAAAAAACAGCATATTCACTTTGAATTTGATTATATAATTTTAGCAGATAAAAAACAAATAAAAGCAGATCGAGAAACATACCAATTAATCCGAGTGCAGTTATATCCCAGAGCAAAAGATGATTGTCAGTCCCATCCGTTACCAATCTACATTTTCTTTTTAACAATGCAGTTGCTAATGCCTGTGCATTTCTTTTAACCTGCTGCATGTATGCTTTATACTCTGGGGTTGCAACTTGTTTCAAAGCTATGGCAAGAGCAGCAATGTGATTATTGTGGGGACCTCCTTGTAACGATGGATATAAAGCAAAGTTTATCTTCTCCTCAAAGTCATAAGTACTATTATCATCCCCGTGATTAAGAACAAAACATTTCTTCGATGGTTTTGCTCCTTTTCTGTAAAAGACGATGCCACCTCTTGGACCTCGAAGACTTTTGTGGGTTGTTGAGGTAACAATATCACAGTAATCAAATGGACAAGCAACTTCCTGTAAAAGCTAATGTCAATATACTTGAAAGAACAATAAAGCATGATATGGGAAAAATTTTACAAAAGAGCCAAACAACTAAAAAAGAACAGTACAATTGACACAAGCAATAAAAATGAAAGAAAAAAAAAACAAGATGGCTGATTATGTAACAAGAGAATAGAGCATACACATGAAAAAATTTCAATTAACAATACTATGGACCTCTTTGGAGCAACTTATTTGAGCTTATCTACTAACATACGAATTTTGACTGTGAAACTGTTTGTGAAAATATGAAAACATTTTATGACATGTTCATAAGCTCTCCAAAATAGCTTATAAAAATAGTTTATAGCTTATGCAAAAACAATTAAAATTTGTTTTATCTTTTGTTAAAGAAATAGCTGATACATAAGTTCTTGGCATGTTATTGGTTGGCCTACTAACATAATGCTTACACACAAGTGCTTGTCATGAAAAATGCTTATTCTATAAATAGCAAGTTAAATTATTTATTGAAACAGGGCCTAAATACCAAGGATTACCTAAAAGGATGATTTGATGGTTGGGATGTGGGATATAGGAGTTGGGAATCACAATGGGCAAGGTTTGATTTCCACTCTTCATTGACATCTAACAAAGAACTAAATTTTCCTTTCAAAAAAATATATACACCAGGAAAACAGATTAAAATTATATACATTGGGCTTAATTTATGATCTTTCTGGAATCACCTAAGCAATTTACATTGCACCAAACAAGTATATAGTAAACCACTCTGCCATTAGTTTGCTTCATGAAGGAGATTAATGAAAATAAAAGAAAAACAATTACTCAATTTCATATAGAATTCATATTCAAAAGGCAATTACATCGAGATCCCAATAATAACACATCCAGGTAATGATAGGAAAGAGGTCATTTTGCTTTCCATGTTTCCTACCTACTAGAACTGAGGAATTCATATTCTTGTCTCAAGAGATACTGCTAGGATATGCCACATTGTTTAAAGGTAAAATTAATTCAAACTAATTTCAGTTTGCTACTTTCATCAAATACATAGCAAGACAGGAACAAATCCTAACATGTCAATAGTGCACGCAGCTTCAATTGTTCTACATCCAAATGTTAGAGTAAAGGAACTACGTCCTACAAGTTCTAAACAATAGGTCTTAAGCTAACCTCCAAAGAGTATTAATTCAAAGCTGCATTGATCTCACAAAGAGTAAAATTCAGAGTAATTTAGAAAAACAAAAATAAGAAAGTTGAAAGAGTACCTTAGCAGCAACAAGGCCACTAATATGAGCCATGTCACACATCAAAACAGCTCCACATTTATCAGCGATCTTCCTAAACCTTCCATAATCCCATTCTCTAGGATAAGAACTACCCCCACAGATAAGAATTTTTGGTCTATAATCTGCTGCTTTCTCCTCAAGCTTATCATAATCAATGTAACCAGTCATAGGATTAACCTTATAAGACAAAGTCTCAAAAAATATAGATGCTGCAGAAACCTTCTTCCCACCATGAGTATAAAAACCATGACTCAAATGTCCACCAGAAGGTGAATCCAAACCCATAATCCTATCACCAGGATTCAAAAGACCAGTATAAACAGCAAAATTAGCAGAAGTACAAGAATAAGGCTGAACATTAACACCCCATTTATTCGAATCAAGATCAAAAGCATTCAATGCACGCTCACAACACAGAAACTCAAGCTGATCAATGTACTGATTACCAGTATAGTATTTAGCACCCGGCATCCCCTCTGAGTATTTATTAGTCAAATGACTACCAAGCGCTTCCATCACTGCCCTGCACACAAAATTCTCAGAAGCAATCAATTCAATTCCTTTAAACTGTCTCAACTTCTCCTTCTCCATAATCATGAATATCTCAGGATCAGCAACACTCAGCGGCTGATTCCCCCAACTCACCGAAGCCTTAGAATCCACCGCAACACGCTTCAACGAAAAACTCTGTTCCTCTTGTTGATGATACCCCTCGATTTTCCTCTTCAAACACATAGGTCTACCCATAAAGTCAATAGTTTCACTTTTTTCACCATCAACAACTCCATCATCATCATCCTCTTCTAATTCTTGTTTCTTCACAACAACAACATTGTTCTGTTTCTCATGAAGTAACCGCCATGACAGAGAAGAGTTCGATTTGGAACTCAAATGCAACGAAAAAGAACCGTCACTGAGTGAAGCAGATGATGAACCAGTATGAGACGGCGAGGAAGCATTCGCATTCGCATTCAACCCGAGAGATAAACCCGCACTAGCATCCATGAATCAACCGAAAGCGATAATAATACCCAATTAACAGAAATTAGGGTTTTGGATATGAACAGTCTCAGCAACAACAACAGTAACAACAACAACAACAACAGTGACAACAAGAACAGTGGTTGGATTGAGAAGAATAAGGAGAAAACGATGAAGATGGTTTCATGGGAAAGGAATGCATTCAGAATGAGAATGAAAATTCGGAATGTGAAGAAAAAAAGATAAAGAGAAAAAGAAGAGAATTGAGAATGAACCTGAATGGAATTGAGGGAGAATAAGGTAGCGTATGAATGTGAATGAAATTGTAGCAGAGGGAAATCAGCGTTTGGTAGTAGTAAATTTATTGGAACTTGCAATTTTATTTCTATTTACAAACATTTAATTTTTAATTAAATATTTATTTAATTGGATAGGATACGTTGAAAGAAGTTTCTCAAGTGGGTTCATCTGGATGTGATTGTGGGTAGGTTCATTTTGTGCTGTTTTATGTTAAGTTGTTTTATGTGGGACCATTTTTTTTCCTTTTTTCCATTTTGAACGGATTTTTTTTTTCTTTTTGACTTTGTATTTGCCATATACTGTTTCACGAGAGATCTCAGCCGTTGTTTTTGATAAATCTTTTTATGCCTGGATGTGTTTCCTACCGTAGGATTTGGATGGGAAGAGGAATCAAGTTGGTGTAAGTTTGGTTTTATATTTGGAGGATCCAAAATTGATTTTAATTGTGTATAAATGAATTTGATACGGAAGAGTGGTTGATTATATAAGAAAATTGATTTTAAATGAATTGATTATATAATTGATTTTGAATAAAAGTGAATTTAATTTAAAAATAATGTTTGGATAAAATTTTTATAAAATTAATTGAATAATAAGTTTTAGATATAATCTATGTTTATATAGAAAAACATAAATTTTAATTTTAAATACAGTCAATTCAGAAAAAATATACGTAATCAATTTAATTTTAGAACAACTAATCATGTCATTATTAATTATTAATTCTATGCATGAATCGAAAACATCTAATAATTGAAGATAAATTTTAGCAGTTTTTACTTTAAACATGATTTTCATGATGTTTTGCTAAATTAGAGTTTTGATTATAATGTTTTATATTATTTATAAATTGAGGCTCTTTTGATAAGTTTTAATTTCGAGCTTATGATTTATAACTTATAATTTATTAGTTTATACGATAATTTAGATTTATTTAGTAATGGTGTTTTTATCACAAACTTATAGTTTACTTTATTAACGTATAATTTATTTTTAGACGCTATTTTAAATAGCGTTTTAGCTTATAGTTCATAGTTTATCATCTTTTCTTTCATTTTAATTCTTATTATTTTTATAAAAAAAATTATTTTTTATTTTTTATAATTTATTTTAGTTTAAAATAAAATAAATATATATTAAATATCTTTTATGTCATTTTACAATTGAACCGTTAATTTTATCAAACACTTCAATTAACTTATCCGTTATCGGTCATCAATCATTCGTTATAAGTTATCAGTCATTCGTCATCAACTATAAACTATAAGTTAACTTATTAATCAACCACTATTTTTTTCAAAAAGAGCATTAGTCCTCTTATTTTAAATTTAAATAGTTTTAATTTTTCTATCACTTTTTTCATCGATTTTTAAATTATACTTTTTATTTATAAAATTTCGCAAGTAACACATTATTTAAAAATTAACAAATCATAAATTCTAAGTACATAATTATGAAAAAAATAGACTAAAACTATTCAAATTTTAAAGTATGAGAATAGATTCAAAACCAACAAAACTATAATTAAGCCAATTTATTTTTAAATTTACTTTTATAAATATTTATTTAAATATAAATCATTACATCCTCACTTTAAAAGAAAATCAGTTTCACAAAACTAATTTTCTTTCCTAAAGCACCAAACACATATTTAAATATTTTTTTTAAATTAATTTTAACAATAAATTAAAAAAGAATATAAAAATAGAACATATTTGAAGAATAAAAATACAAAAATATATTTGATAAACCATTTTTCAAAATATTCACTAATAAGGATTAAAATAATTATTACAAACATCCATTCCAATATATTTTTTTAAAAGATTAAAACAAAATTATTGCAAGCCTATGTGCGTTTTTGTTTTTTGGTACAATAAGCCTATGTTCATTAAATTCACGTGTTTGTAAAAAATTATATAATTGTAATAGAATTATACTCCATTGATTTTATTTATAAAAGAAATTATTTTTTAAATTTATTAAATAAATGATATATCGAAATTAAAATATAAAGCATAGTTATTAAATAAAAACAAAATTTATAAATAGAATCACATGTAATATATTTTTGCCATTAATGAAAACTAGGGTCTAAACGGTTGTCTGTTTTCTCTAATAATGAATTTTATAAAATATAATTTGTATTATATTTTTATTTAACTTTAATTTATATTTAAATTATTTATAAAATAGTGAAAGATAATAATATAAAAAATAATAAACTATCATATATTTGTTATCGTAGAAAAGAGAAATTAAAATTAATTGAATAATAAATTTTAGATATAATCTATGTTTATATAGAAAAACATAAATTTTAATTTTAAATACAGTCAATTCAGAAAAATTATACGTAATCAATTTAATTTTAGAACAACTAATCATGTCATTATTAATTATTAATTCTATGCATGAATCGAAACATCTAATAATTGAAGATAAATTTTAGCAGTTTTTTACTTTAAACATGATTTTCATAATGTTTTGCTAAATTAGAGTTTTGATTATGATGTTTTATATTATGGGTAATACTAATTTGTGTTTTGGGGTACATGTTAAAAAATTCACAAATAAAAAATATGTATAGAAAAAAAATCATTAATTATAAGGTTGGAATTAATTTATTACACAATTTTCAAAAATTATTTTCTATATTTATCTCTTAACTTGTGTCTTTGGGACAAAGTTAACATTACCTTTATATTATTCATAAATTTAGGCTCTTTTGGTAAGTTTCAATTTCGAGCTTATGATTTATAACTTATAATTTATAAGTTTATACGATTATTTGTATTTATAAGTTTATACGATAATTTAGATTTATTTAGTAATAGTGTTTTTTTTTAATCAAGAAAGAATATATTAATTCAAAACAAGTCAAGTACAGAACAGTGATTCAGATGAGGATCCAACCCACCAAACAAACTCAATTACATCATAAAACTAATGAGGTATTTTCTAATCCTATTGTTTTACCAACCTCTATAAGTCACATTATCTATGATTTTTGTAACCATGTTTATATTGTCTACACTGTTTTCAAAAATAATACTATTTCTATAATTCCTTATGTTGTAGACGGTTTCAGCTGTTAGCATTTCAAAATGTCAGCCTTCCATCCCTTCCCCTTTGTGAGATCAGTGATTCATATTAGTTCTATTTCCCATTGTCGGGGTTTATGTTGAATGTTAAACCATTCGAGGGTTTCCTTCCATATGTATCTTGTTCTGAGACATTGGAAAAACAGGTGATTTAACGTTTCTTCTTCAACTTTGCATAAACTGCATATGTTTTCTTCAATCATCCCGAACCGTTTCAATCTATCTTTGGTTGCAAGTTTCCCATGACATGCTTGCCATAGACAATGTACCGCTCGCGGTTGACCTTTGTTGAATCGGATCAGATTTCTCCATGGTACTCTTGTGCCATTGTCAATGAGTACCTTGTAAAAGGTTACAGCTTTAAAGTTATGTGTGGTCATAACTTGGTTCCATTCCTGCCAGACCTTGTCCATGTATTCTCTTTGTTTCAGGATGCCCCGTATGATCCATGAATTATGTGCTTTGGTTACATATGTCATTATATCCTTTCCTTTTAGGTAGTGCGCATAGATCCATTTGACCCACAGTGTGTCGGTTTTGTTGCGAAGGTTCCACAGACATTTCAATAGGAGTACGTTGTTCCAGGTTTGAAGATTTAGGATGTTCATCCCACCCTGAGCAGTTGGGCTGCAGGTAGGGCTGGCAATGAACCAAACCAACTCGAAGATAGTTCGGAATTCGACTCGACAATTAAATCGTTGAACTAAGTTCATGAACCAAATGAGTTGAGTATGAGCAAAAAATTAAGTTCGTTAACTAAATGAGCTGAACTTGAACTATACATAGTTCGACTCGTTAGGTTCATGAGTCAACTCGATTACATATGAAAAGAATTATACTGTCTTTAAGATTAGGTTTAAATATTTACTTCAAATCTTAGACAAATTTAATCTGCAATTTAGTAGTTTTTGAATTAGACTCTCAAATGTATCTCTTGAAAGTTGTGTAGGTTTTGAATTAGTAGATTTCGAAGATAAAGTTAAATTTCAATATGATAACTTTTATTTTATTTTAATATTTTATTTTAAAAATATATATTTATTTAAAATGTCAAATATACTAAAAAATATATATTTTTAAAAAATAGTTTTTAAGTTCGTGAACCATGTGAGCTGAACCTAATGAGATGAGCCTAACGAGTCGAACCGAACTGTTCGTGAACTTATAACGAGTCGAGTTTGAGCTTAAAAAAAAGTTCGTGTCGAACTCGAACTCGAACTCGAATTCGAATAATTCTTAACGAGTCGAGCCGAGCTGGGGTGAGTTCGACTCGACTCGACTCATTTCCAGCCCTAGCTGCAGGCGGTTTTCCAAGCCACCGGGCATTTTCTGCTCACAGTATCTTTTCCAGTCCAAATGAAACTTCGGCAAATTGCATCTACTTTCTTGATCACGCATTTGGGTAGGGGAAGGCAATGCATCAAATACTGTACCATTGCATAAGCGATGCTTTTGACTAGTTGAACTCTTCCTGCGTAGCTAAGTAGTTTAGAGGACCAGTGATGTATTCTAACAACTATTTTATCCACCAGGGGCATAAAGTGGTTGATGGTGAGTCTCTTGCTTGATAAGGGGATTCCCAAGTATTTGAAAGGAAGCATCCCTTCTTGGAAGCCAGAC